TTTTCGTAGAATAATCTCGATAACTTTGTTAAATCTCATTCTAGGAAGAAAAACTAAAATCAAAGTTGGAAATCATCTTATTTTGTTTCATTTAAACTGGGATCAAGCTCAGGAAATAGGTAAGGAACTTTGCTTCATTTGCATATTTATAGCAATATGCGTTCGCCATATTGGATTCCTTCGTCTCGAAGTATATCGTTAATTTTCATTTATTTATAATGTGTATTGATATTTACAGCCCATTATCTACATGCAGAAAAGGTAAAAGGTGTAATAAGAGTTCAAATCATAGAGGAAAATGTAATTCTGAAAAGCAGTCTCACAAATTCTGGGTGAATTCTCCTGTATACAATCTCAAGTCTCTCAAGGCAAGTCGAGCTGAAGTGATCAGTCAGAGGAAGGAAATTCAATGTTGGGAAGCAAATTTAAACCAGGCCGTCTATCAAATTTCGTCCAGAAGTCAGGAACTAGAAGAGCTTGCAAAATATACAGAGGAACAGGCATCTACAACCAGTTAGTGAAATTATTTTCAGTTAATATGAGGTTTAATTGTATGTATAATGTATTATTATAATACTTGTATATGACTGTAATAATAGTATTAATAGATAGTCTATTCAAGGTCTTAAGGATCGTGCCAGATGGTGTTTGCAGGGAACCAGAAGGTTCAGGACCTCAGACAATTGGAAGAAGAAATTGTACTATTCCCTATTATGATTGTATTATCATTGAACCAGACAGGCCGTCATATATTAAACAATACCAATGACCTAGATTGAACATGATACTGTTGTTAAAAGCTATTTACTATTATGGATTGACTCTTGAAATTACAGCTAATTTTAACACTAATATTTTGTCCATTGATCCACGGCTTTATGTATTTACATATACAGCTCATTTGCAGATCAGTGAATGGTTCATTGGCATGCACTTGTGTGCATACTAATTCAAACTGATTTACAGTGCAGTGTTCCGCATAAATATGATCTTGATTAATATTGATGTGGCATGAGCACAAAATTCGTGTTGACACTGAATTCAGGTATATTATTAATGTAACTGATACCTGCGAAAGATTTCGTAAGGTGTATTTATTATAAAAAATATAAAATAACCCTCAATATTTCGAGCATGCCCAGATATTGCAGAATATAGCCTACACTTTATATGGACATGTAGGATATATTGTGCATATTCTGCAGCCTATATACATATTCACAATAGACAATGTATATAGTGTATATAGTGAGTGTTTAAGTGAATGTCAAAGAGTATATATAGTGTCATATCGCCTGTTTGACTGAATGTCAAAGAGTAGCTATATATAGTGTATACTGTGTATGTAGGCTATATAGTGTATACATATATACTCAATATATGTATTATCAGTATATAGTCAAATTTAAAGTATGTATACTGTATAGGGAGTGTTTGAGTGAATATCAGTGAGTACATGTACATGTCTTATGTATAAAGAGGGATTTTTTTAAGAACGAGGAAACATATGCATGCCTTTATGACTTATGTATCATATGACTATGTGTCAGTCACTGAATGTATAAAGCTGGTTTTTTTAGGAAGGAGGAAACATATATGCCTTTATGATTTATATATCATATGACTATGCGTCATTGATTGTATATAAAGCGGGATTCTTTTAAGAACGACGAAACATGCCTTTATGACTTGTAGGCTAGGTATAAATATAACTATAAGACCGGTTTGAGTGCTAAAATGTGTAATACAATATTTGATTACAAAACAACGTTTCATATATCCGCATGCATTAATATTTACAATCAAGTTGATAAAATTAAGCGAGAATATACAGTATATACTGTTTTGACTATGTCTAAATAGACATGTATATTGTGTATATTTTGTATATGTATACCATAGCCTATACACTATATACACAATATATATAGACTAGCTATATAGCAAGTTGATAAAAGCGAGATTGCGAGAATATACAGTTTTGACTATAGACATGTTTGTTACATGTATATTGTGTATAGTAGATGAGTATACACTGTAAAGCATATGTATACAAAATATGCAGTGTATACTGGTGCAGTACTGGGTGGAGTATATTGCGTATATTCTGCAATACCGCGGTAACCACTAACCGCGGCTTAGTGCAAATTTCGCATTCCGAAATTTGGTTTTTGTTCGCCCTTCCATGTCGCGTCAAGCAAGGTAGGCTCGAAATTAAACTTCATAGCCACCAAAGCTCGGTTCCAAAAATGCTTTGGACTCTCCATTTCATTGTTATCCTCGCCTAAGTTTAGATTAGATAACTTCGAAGAGACATCGCTGGCTGCCATATTTGAACATTTTGGTGGGAAATTTGAATATTAATGAGCTACTCTGCTGACAATGCGAGCCTGCGCTTCCGGGAGGATTTTGCATAGCAACCGACCGCCATGTAATATTTGGTTGAAAATACCACATTTTTTCATGCAACTGTGTCTGAGATATTGCCATTTTGGTGAAAGCTCCTGAATTCAATCACATATTTGCCATATTGCTTGCGTGTTGGGAGGTAGAAACATTGCAACAGCTTGCAGCTTAATGAGTTAAAATGACAACTTGTTTTAGACATATTGTGGTCTAAAATAAGTGTATTGAATTAATGTGCTTGCTTGTAAGTCCACACTTGTGTTCTGAAGCTTTCAAAATGCTTTTTGTATTGTTTTATATATCCCCATAAAACTTTAAATCGGATAAGGCAGATAATAATGTTGATGCAACCTCATGTTCTAGTAACTACATGTTGAATCAGAAGGAAATGTCATCAAAATAGGTCGTGATGGTTGTTTGCAACATGCTGCTTTTCTCTCTGCAATAGCTTCCTTTGCGGGAAACCATGGAATTGAAGTCCTAACAAAAACATAATTTAGCAGTTCTTTTGGGGCCATTGCTCACTTATTTATCATGAAATCGCTTCAGTAGAACATTTTTAATGTCTATCAGAAACTTTGTAATTTTTTTGAACTAAAAGTATATGGTTTTGAGGTGTTTAGTTTAGAAGATAGCACACACGACAAAATGGCACTAATGTGGTTTCTCACATCTAACAAACAACCAAAGATGAATGTCCTTATTTCACCCTTTTATAGCTATGTTGAATACCTGGATATCATGTTATCTTTTTCATTTGAGCATACAGATAACGAGCATACAGTTAACATTTCTACACAATTAGTCCTTATGAAGGCTTATTTCAAACTAACAAGAGTGATTGTTTTTTAGAGACAGACTTCAAAAGAAAACATGTATCTGACATTTTATGGCAGCCTACATTGGCATACAAAATGATTTTGTTTGTTTGACGTACTGTCCTTTCCATTTGAAAATTTTCATACTGGTGGTTACGTGAATAGGTTGTTGAAGGCTTCCCTACCCTTAGGAAGTTAATAAAATCAACAGCAAGTAAAGCTGCTCCTTTTACTACCATTGAGGCAGGATCCATTTACGTTTTTATGATCCATAAAAGTATAATTATGTCTAATACACATTTCTTTAATTTTATTGTTAACATCTGCCATCTTAGCAGAAGATCCGATATCATTTCTCATTGTAATACCCAAGATCCCAATCTCTGCATTGGGAAACTTAACATGCACTGTAGAGCATAATTTTCTATTTTGTTAAGACAAGCATTCGATTGGTCAATTGGGAGATTGTTCGTCCCACAATGTATTATAACATATGAAGCCGAAATGCTTGCATTATCTATGTTTCTCGAAATTTTACTCTTTTGCAAGTGCTTCTGCCAGTATAGAACTTTCGTTAGCACTAGAAAGATTCTCTATACATGCTTGACTATCATTCCGGTTGTTATAGGTTGGAAAATTCATGTATTCCTATCATAACAAGCTACTACCTTCATCTTTTCACAACTTATTTATTACTAGTAATCAAATTCATCAATTCAACACAAGAAACGCTAGTTTATATCAATCACATGTTTGTAGAACTAACATAAAACAAAATTCGTTACTGCAAAGCTTTCGATCCGTAAGCCCGGATCTTCATCAGTGCACGGTTAATAGACTAAGATGGTTAGGCTAGCCCATGACGTCACAAAACATGTCATTGTTCTCAGTTTATTTACGTCACGTGACCATGAAGCGGTATGCTTCGTGTAAACATTGTATATTTTTCTATTGGAGCGGATCAAATTTCGAGATAAAATATCATATTTCGCTTTGTTTCACAAAGTAAAATCCAAAGAATATGTACGTGTGGTTCGTATTAAGTACGTTGAGAAGCAAACACTGTTATTTGAAACATGAGTTCGAAAAAAATGAGAAATTAAAAGCCGAGAATAAAGCAGATATGGAATGGTCAAAATACCCACACTTTTGGAGAGTAATTCAAAGAGAATTAAAATGTTATAAATGTTCACGTATCTGTCATCAAAACGGAACGAAAAGAAGCTGTACGTTTATTGAGAACAGCTGCGAATACGGAGTGTATCAGGTATCAGCGTATGGTCATATTGCGCATAGATTTTCACCGCAAATTCTAATCGGCTGTCTGCCTGTCTTCAAAACTCGTCGTTTTTATACAATATTTTGGATATTGGATACATTTTTGCGTTTCATTATGTGATTCGCAGCAATGCCCGGTGCCAATTGCGCATTCTTAAAATATCTTTATTTAAAATCCCAGTGGTTTCCGCAAGTGATAGTGAGTATACGAAGGCTTTAAAAACAAAAGCTCGAGAAGAATGGCTTCGATTGATAACGAGGACGAGAGAGATGACCCCAGACCTCAAGAATCAAATAGATGGAAATACTATTCACCTCTGTGAGCGGCATTTTAAATCAGAATGCATATCTATTTGTAAGTACTGTGTACAGATTTATCAATATTCACGTTTGTTAATGAATATTTATGTGGCTTTAATTAAAGTATGATCAAAGGTCGAATATACAAATTTAAAATTGTCTCAAGTTTGGTGCATTTTTTTATTTTATCGTAATTCTATGATTATAGACCCTACAAGAAAAGTCCTGATATTGGGTAGCATACCAACAGAAAACCTGCCTAAGAAATCACATGAGGACCCCAAGCCAGCTCAGCCAAGAAGATCATTAACCAAAAGGGACTCCACTGTTGATACAGCCACTGCTACTTCATCATTGATGTCATCGTCTACTTGCTCTCGGTCAAATAACCAATTCAAAAGCTTGCTCAAGCAGATAGATAAAGAGAACTTAGACCCATGGAAGATAGATAAATCAGTCGAAGAAAAAGTTAAATTTGAATTGTATGATGATGTGCATTGTTTACCGAAATTCACCATTGTGGTGGATTCTGCCCTTGAGTTTTCTACATATGTGTACAACTGGCCTCTTGAAGACACTCACTTTCTCTATAAGGAGAGAAAACGATCAATTACTTACAATACCATTAAGGAACTGCTGCAAACCATTGAACAGTCTGTACTATGTAATGGCTTGCCAGATGACGAGGATGTCAAATCAGTTGTTGTGGATCCTACATCACAAAACTCGCCCCCACGAACTGTTTTTCGCCACTCTATACCGAAGGTTATGTTGAATGATAACGGGAACCGCTTTGAAGTGACAGTAGTGTTTCGGTCAGTGGACTGTGAAGTGATAAAGTCTTCTTCTGCTGAACAAGATCATTGCAAGTCATGTTCCACTGCTCTAAAGTATATCAAGAAGGTCAGCACAAGGAAAAGCAGATCATCCGAGGCTCCAGCCAAACCAAAAGCACCCATTGCAATGTGCGGACCTGAAAAGTTGAGAGCAACCTTAAAGGCTACTCGCCTCCAATGCAAAGATTTGGAGGAGAGGCTGCATAATCTTGAAAACCAAATTGAACAGGACGGTTTTGGAGTGAGTGAGGCAACAGAGAAAGACATTCTCAAAATTATGGCTGGGAAGAACCTGGAAGATAACCCTCACATGAAATTCTTTTGGGACCAACAAATGAAGCTGCTGCAGTCCAGCAAGATGGGAAGGAGATACCATCCACAAATCATAAGGTTTGCCTTGTCTCTCCATGCAAAGTCTGCTTCTGCATACAGAGAAGTTCAAGAAAGTGGTGCATTAATTCTGCCAAGTGAACGTGTCCTCCGAGATTATAAGAATTATTTTAAGCCGAAAGCGGGGATTAACAAGGAGAATATTGAAAATTTAAAAGAGAAAGCTTCAAAATTTTCTGATGTCCAAAGATATGTGGCTGTTGTAATGGACGAAATGAAGATCCAGTCAAACTTGGTGTTCGATAAAGTTTCTGGCGAGTTAATTGGCTTTATTGACCTTGGTGATCCCATGACCAATTATGCCACATTGCAAGAAGAGGACACCATTGCATCTCATGCTTTGGCATTTCTTGTCCGAGGATTAGCTACCGACCTGAAGCATATCATTGGGTACTACTTCACTGGAAATGTTACCTCATTCCAAATTATGCCCATCTTCTGGAAAATTGTATCTGTCTTGGAGATGTCAGTCAATTTGTGGGTGGTCGCCGCTGTTAATGATGGGGCATCTCCAAACCGAAAGTTCTTTAACCTTCATTGCAATCTCACAGAAGATCTAAAGCATGACATTGTTTACAAGACAAGGAATGTGTTTGCAACGTCACGCTTTATTTTCTTCTTTGCAGATTCACCCCACCTGATCAAAACAGCCAGGAATTGCCTGTACAATTCTGGTTCTGGTTCACAAAGCCGCTTTATGTGGAACAATGGAAGTTATTTGTTGTTCCGACATATAGCCAACCTGTTTTACAGAGATCAAGCATTACCCTTGCATTCCCTCCCGAAGCTGACGTTGGATCACATCGTCCTTACTTCCTATAGCAAGATGAAAGTCAAGCTAGCGATCCAGGTTCTGAGCAAGTCAGTGGCCATAGCTTTGGAAGAGAGCAACAATGAAGAGGTTCGCGGTACAGCCATGTTTTGTACAATGATGAACACTTTTTTTGATTGTACTAATGTTAGGTCAAAAACAGAGTACATCAAAAAAAGAAATGATTCCATCAAGCCATACTTTTCCTGTGATGACCCACGGTTTACTTGGTTAACTGATATATTTTTGAAATATCTTGAGGATTGGAGGAAAAGTACCTTAACCAGGCCTGGTGAGTACTCGCCTGACGAGAGGGGGAAGATGTTCCTGTCATTGCAGACGTACAATGGTCTCAAGATATCAGTGTATTCGCATGTGGAAGCAGTCCAGTTTCTGTTGAGTCAGGGATTTGAGTATGTCCTAACTGAACGTTTCATGCAGGATGTGCTGGAGGATTATTTTGGCCATCAGCGAGCAAGAGGTGGAAGATCAGATAATCCCACAGCTCAACAATTTGGTTACAACGATCTGACAATTGCGACTCAGAGAGATATTGCCCCAGTCATTAGAGGAAATGTTGGTGGTCGTTACGAAGTACAGAAATGGCAAGTAGTCAGCGATGAACCTGTGAAGAAGCGGGCAAAAAAATAACACTTGTTTGGACTATAGTAACATTTACTGTAACAGACAGTACATAAACTTTACAATGGCATAATAAATATCTGGTGTTCGTCTGGAACAATGTATTACCATACAGGTGATATGAGAATTGTCCTATTCAGGTGGGCATTTAATCAAATGACAACAGACCTTTCTGGTAATTACTGGCCCCTCAGTCTCACTTCCATGTAGTTGTGGACATAATCACCGGAAAGGTCTATTGACTTACATGTTAATTTATGCTTGCACTGTTATGACCTTTTTTCCATGTTTTAGCATGATGAAGTTAAAAATCCCCCATTTCATGCACAAATATGTTCTTGTATTTTTATCACAATAACCATTGTGTAGAAAACATCACGCTGGTTATATTCAGTAACTTTTCTCCCAGTATCACAGGCTCACATTTTTAGCGGACTTGTTGTGAAAAATTGAAACTTTTGCATTTTGCACAGAACTGCTCACTTTCTGTAAGATGTCTGCAGACGATACGAGCCCGCACGAGTGGGAGAAATTTTACTAGATTTGACCAACTTGCATGAGGAAATGAGGTCTTGAGGAAATTAATTAACCCATTAAGCCGCTATGCGCCCCAGTGTGCCCTACCTATTTTTTTTACTTGGCTAATGCCAGATGATTTTATTCGTCAATGGAGAAGCTCTGCAGCTTAATGGGTTAAAGAGTGCAACAAATATTGATTGATTAGATCAGCCTTTTGTACCATTCTTGTAAAACAAAAGTAGTATGATATAAAATAATACAGTATAAACAGTGCTTGGATTTTTACATGGAGTTAAATCACTACATGAAAATTAATTCTGAATGTCTCGACTGAGAACAGCATACATATTTCATGTAATGATTTAAAAAACCCATTTGGACACCCAAGGCTGAGCAATAGCCCTTACATAATGACATCTAAGGCTTGATGCCCACAAGGAATGCTGGTCTCATAATTAGTCATCGCCCAGGAAAATTAAACAATTCAAAATGGCCACTATTGAAATTTTCTGGAAATTGTCCTTGGGCGATGACTATTAAGACCAGCATTCCTTGCGAGCATCAAGCCTTGTGACATCATTGTGCATAAGGTCACATAGTACAAACATACAGAGATGAAACTGAGTGTTGTAAACACTGTGGAAGCTTACGTTTTCATGTACCCACTTTTTCAGGCCACCAGGCAACTGTGCATGCTCAGCAAGTTAAAGTGAGTCGTCATCCAATCAGATGCATACATCTAGTAACTTGCCAAGCATGCACACAAAAAAGTAGGTACACTAGTTCTGTAACTGTATGTCTCTACTCTGTGATAAGGTGTGTTACTTTGTTATATTATTCAATTTTAAATTTTTCAAACTTTTCTACATGCAAACTGAACAAACAATATTTTGGTGTGGTAAACGCAAATGTAATATGTAAATATGCATACAATAGCTAGTTGTTGCACAATGTTATGACAAAGCATTTGTGCTGGTATTTGTTTAAGTATGTGTTTTATTAACAAAGTCATTTTTCAACTTGGGAAGACATCTTCAAGTCCTTTCTAAGTGCTTTGGTTTTTGTTTGTTTTTCTTTTATTTTATACTTTGCAATGTAATCTTTTGCATATGAAAAAGACCTAACTTTTAAATAAAGTTTGATCACATTTTCCAAGCACAACTTTTGAGTTGGGGACGAATTCTCAACGCCAGATGACAAAACAATGTTCTCCCATAATGACTTCACAGCAGGCGACTCGAGCACAGAATTACAAATAACTTCTGTAGGAATATTTCTTAATATTTCCTTGGATTTGCTGACTTCACATCTAAACGACACCTCCGTGACTTTCAGAATATTTATCAAATCATCACAGGGCGAGATAAGTCCACCCCTGCTTCGAGCGGCAATGAAGTGATTTGCTGTTTCATCAGTCGATTTCATAACTGCAAGCAAGGTTTGAATTTCTTCGTTAGTTTTGCCATATTTAGTTGTATTCGTACGATAAAGTTTGCTTATAATATATCCCGCGATATATGACAATGGTCCGGTCTCAGCTTGATCGAGTGCATGAGAAGTATCTTCTTTTACTTGCGTTTGCCCAATGTTTGACGTATTGAAGAAGCCAACTAAGAAATCGGGCAGTTGAATCATTATCAAGTTCGCTATTTTATAGTCGTCGCATTTTAAAAACTCGCACGATCGAGGAATTAGACCATAAAAAGACTCGAGCAATTTGTCCTGATTTTTCTTCCGACAAAATATTTCGTACAACGGCAACAGAGCTTCAAACAATGCCTTGGTTGGTTTCACAGCGGCCAAAGCGGTGTTTGTCTCACTATTGTAAATATCTTCCTTTATAATCCGAGCTTTGATTGCCTCAACAAATCCATCAACTGTTTCTTTGTCTAGGTTGCCAAGGTTCGTAGTCGCACGTTTCTTTGGTTCGCCATGTTTCGAATTTGTGTGTCTTGTCAGACCACCTTTCGACTTGCACACTTTATTGCATTTGTCGCATTCGAATGATTTCTTCCCCTCGATTTCTGAAACAGCTTCGTCAAATTCATTGTCAATTTCCGTTGTATCTGTTTCAGCTACGGTTATGCTAAAGAATAGGTTGAAACGATCATCAACATCTTGTTCGTCATCTTCGGCTTCGAGGGGTCCTTCGACATCTGCTATGTTTTCGCTCTCAATATCACTCATTTTGCTTCAAAAACCACCTTTCGCTTCCCGACAGATTCGCCACACAATAATATATATAAATCCGTCAAATTAGCTTCCTTAGACAACACGAAATATGATATTCTGATGAGAAATTTGACCCGCTCCTATACAAAAGTATACAATGTGTTTACGCAGTGTACCGCTTCACGGACACGTGACTTTTTAATCCTTTGATCCCCAACATAATTCGCCGCCTTCTTTGAAGTATGCCGGCTAGCCTAACCATCTTAGTCTATTAACCGTGATCAGTGCTAATAATATTATTTACAGTAATAAATTATTACTTTACAGTAATAAATTTGTGTGGTGTTTCCACAAACAAAACTATTATATTTTTCGCCATGCAAACATAAAAAGAACTTATAACATAAAACAGTTAATCATACATTACCAAAACCATCCTCAGAAATAAGAAAAACTAGTTAGCTCAATAGGTAGAGCGGCGGTCTAGATACCCAAAGATGCGAGTTCAAATCCCGCTCAAGCCAATTAATTTTTCGTTGCTCGATTGCAGTGTCAGAATAATATGAAACACTTTACCAAGGTAAACTCTGGTGTTCTCTCCCAGATAAAGTTAGAAATGCTTAGACGTTAAATTGGTTCACAAATAGAATGCTGAAATACCTGCATGAACTATAAATTTATTTTCATGTTTATTGCTGGTCTTTGGAGGCAAATCGGATTGAATTCCCCTCTTGGAATTAGCAGTGTTATGTTTTATTATATCTAAATTTTATGGTCAAGGAGACATCCCTTAAACCCCTGTTACATGGTGCAATTTTTCGTGCAACTTGTCTTGCAATGTTTAAAAAAAAATTTTGATAATGCATTGTATGAGGTGTTACAATGTAATGTAATGCAGGTGCTGCAATGATTTTCATGCAACTCACAACAATGAGATTAGGGAGAGGCACTATTTTGGCACCAAATTGTAATTAACCAGAATCATAACAAATCTTAATGAAATTATATATTAGTCTGGAGAAGAAACGCAAAATGATAAATGCTTTGTTGCTGTTGGATTTACTCTCTGAGGACAACAAAAACAAATAAAACCATGTAAGCGCATACATTGGGTAAGACCCTGGATAGTCCGAAAAGAGCAAAGAGAAGTATATCATTTGTTGGTTAGGGAGCTTGCCTTGAAGGAAACAGCCAATTTTTTTGGGGGGGGGACCATTCCCCCCAAACTGGAATACGAATATCATTAATATTAAACTGGTAAGTTATAAGGCATATAATATTTCAAAAGTATAAAAATGGGTAATGGCTTGGATACATGTGCAGTTGGTGAACCCAGACATCATTTCAATCTGCTCACATGGAAATAGGTGAGCATAGGAAATGATGTCTAGGTTTGTGACTATAGGAGGGGGGAATCCCTCCATGTAACATGTTAAAAAAACCCTGAAATTTGGGGGGAACTCCCACCCAATTCCCAAACCTAAAATTCCCCCTGTATCCTTGTATATAAGTGGTGTTGATATTGTATACAAATAATATATATAATTTTTGTTCTGCTTGAATGTATTGATAAATTTTCTTAAATAATATGTAAAGGCATCACACAAAAAATCATTGTTTTTTACTTTTTTTTAGTGCTACCATGGGCATCCAGCACAGTGATTAAGATGGACGAAATTCCCCCATGCAAGAAATCAAAGTGGTGGTATATTAATCCCCAACACCCACGAACAAAGTATTTTAATCAAATTCTTGGTGTGTGACTGCTACAGCAAATTTCCACTTTTGCGAAAGCTCAGCAATATTCAGTCAAGTACTATCATCGCACATTTGAAATCCATGTTTGAAGAACACGGTATTCCCAGCAAATTAGTGACCGGCAATGATACGCAGTACACAGCCTCCACTTTCCAGGAATTTGCAAACCTATATAGTTTTTGAGCATGTCACCACCAGCCCCTATTATTCACAGGCCAATGGTTTCATTGAACGGAATGTACAGACTGTAAAAGGCTTGTTACAAAGATGTAAGGAGTCTGGAGCAGACCCTCATCTCACAATGTTATGCTTGCGAACCACACCTATTGACCATCACCTGCAGAGTTATTGAATTCTAGACCATACTCGTCAAACCTACCAGCTATTTCCAAGGCAACATTGTTCGATCCTGAGAGTAACGTGAAGTTACAGAAGTGGTATTACGACAGGTCTTCGAAAGAACTCCCAACCTTGAAACCGGGATGCAACGTTCGTGTCTTCAACCATCACAGCCATAAATGGGAATCGGGTAGTGTAAAACAACAAACTGAAACACCTAAATTGTATGTTGTTATGTCCAATGGCGGCACCCGCAGACACCTTCGACCTACTGGAGAGTCCGATATTCCAAAATCACCACATACAAAATCCCACTGCTGATGTGGGAGCTGTGTTGATTAACAAGTGCATCAGACAACTCAACACCTGTTGTGCATTCTCCACCTAAAGACCTACATGGAAACCCACCAACACAGCTTCAACGTTCTAGCTGTGTGATCAAGAAACCAGACAAACTTAACTTGTAATGAGTATAAGACTACAAGTACATTGTTATAACTATTTCATCTTTGACTAATGAGACATAAAAACATTATTTTCGAAACATTTAAAGTATATATTTGATTAAAAAACATTTAGTTGATATTCTAGAAAGGAAGGGATGTCATGGTATCCCTGTGTATATGTCTTATATGGTGGTGCATACCTTATATGGTGGTCGTCCGCAATCTTGAAATTCATGAGTTATCTCGAAATTCAATGGCAGTGCTCATCTTAAATGGCCCATCGCTGCCATATACCACAATGCATTGCGCTTCAACAGTACTTCCATCTTCAATCTCCCTCCGAAAATTTGGTGCAAAGTGCAGCAAATTCGAAGCATAACTTTGTGGAAACATCCATTCTTTCAAAATGGCCAATCAAGCATGGAAAAAGTTTACCACAGCGATGAGCAACAAAAGAACTGGAAAAAAACGAATAAGCCAAACAGTGGAAACGCTACCATTTTAAAGAAAAGTGAGCTTGTCGTTCAGAGATTGACTTCTGATGTACAGGGAAAGGCCCAGAAGTACGCAAAAGTAGGACCACACGAGTTCGTTTCCCCCACGAGACTGTCACAATCAAGAATCTCAAAGAAGCTTGTCACAAGCATTTTAAATCAAGAATCGGTGATGATATGGTGGGCGATATCCTAGCAGGAGATCAAGGACCATCATGTTCTTATGTGGAGCAAATCTCTAGCTTCAATGTCATTCATGTCTGTTTTGTGGCAGCCAATCATGAAGACCCCACCCACTCCAGTCATGATTCTTGCCCCTGGGAAGTTGATACTGTCAGCAGCTGTCCAACCGAGGTACATTAATAGAAAGAACGAGGTACATTAATAGAAAGACCACTGGAGGAGTGCTAAGGAAACATTGTCGTACCCAAAAAGTCTGTCTGTTCTGGAAATGCTGAAGCTGGGAACAGTCATAAAAGGTACGTCGACTTCTTTTGATTTGTACGAGTTCAACGTCCAGACAATGACCTGGACCACTAAGCCAATAAAAGAAGAGTTTGTTGTGGAGGAAGATGTATTTGGTGTTGGTGGGTTTCGGGAGATATTTAAAGCCACAGTAGCCAACAGTAGCACTGCTGAGTTCTCAGATACAACTCGGGTCATAAAGAAGTATTTGCCAGGAGCTCTCACAGTCATTGATATAACAAAACAGACTGTTGAGGAACACACAAAAAAGTGGTTCAAATGCATATGTTGGCAAAGAACTTGGCAGAACAGCTGAAAAAGAAGTTGAAGGAAGATGGGAAATTAGAAGATTTTGGTCAGACCCTTCAATTTAATACGATTTATATGGCACAACCTGGTAATATCATTATAGAAAAGTTTGTTGAAGGGGAATGTGTAATATTTCTCAATCCAACAAACAGTTGATGATTGTGGACATTCAAGGGTGTGGCTATTATCTGTATGACCCAGAAATTGCCTCGAAGGAAATTATGTCAGACCAAGGTGAACAATTGATGTTCACAGTTGGAAACTTGACACAAACTGCAATTGACATCTTTGTTGCAGCTCACAGTTGCAACAAATATTGTGAACTTCTTGGTCTGCCTTGTGTTTAAAGACCCAATAACTTTGAAAACTTTCAAAAACATTGTTCCTGTTATGTTAAAAGTTTGCAATACACCTTTTGTGGATTATATATGAACAACAGTTGTGTTATACACACATACAGGTGTGAAGAAGTTATTAGTTAGTTTTATAGTGAACTTTGGATTTTAAGTCACTTGAACAAGCTGAACATATTTGGTTCTGCATTATAAATCTATTATATCAATATAGTTTTGGTTTTAAATAAAGACTTTTATTGTACAAAGCTTGCAAGAAGTAGGCTATTGTGTCACAAACTACAAAGTTGGTTTTTCACAATACACATTTGATAATACTGTAGCAGGGTTGAAGGGTGTATGTGGTTCAATAATCTTGCATTCTGATTCACTTCCTTTACTTTTTTAGATTTTTTTGTTCTTTACAATTCTTCCCTCGACTATTCTGGTCTCTATTAATATATAAATATAAGCAATTTCATCAGCCAAACAATCTGTAAAGGTGAATCAAATTTTCTCTTAAACAGCTGGAAAGTATAATACAGGGTGTACAAAAAACTGAACAGATTATTGTCGTTATGCAAAAACCTAATTTGCATAATGACAATATGTGATTTATTTAAACCATTAAGCCGCAATGTGCCCCAGTGCACCCTACTTATTTTTTTACTTGACAAACGCCAGACGATTTTACTTGTCAATGGGGAAGCTCTGGGGCTTAATGGTTAATAAAATGAGAGTTCATGTGATGTTTTGATGAGTTCATATGCTTAACCAAATTTTCTGAAATTTTGAGCAGTAATACACAACCAGAAAAATTTTCCACCCACTGACTCAACCTCGTACCCAGGACTAGTCGCGAATTGAAGGCGGGCGACATAGCCCTGGTAAACGCTGGTCACGTGTCAGGCAAATACTCCAAGATTCTTGGAGTATTAGCCTGCGAGCGGGCTTTGTGGAAATGAAGACAGGGGGGCGACGAAAAGTTCACGAATGGATCTTGAATTGCCGCGGATTATTTATATTCTTTTATTTTTTGTTGTAATCTTTCTTTTTAATATGTTACGTTTATATATTACGTCGAATGTACATCAATCTTCTTTTATATCGCATCATGTAAACCGCCGAGGAGGCGATGTTTCGAATTTCGAAGCAGTGAAAATGGAGCCAATCTCGTACATACTATTTGTGATGATTTCCATCAAGTATAAAAAGGTACAGTATATATGAATCTGAAAATGTTTAGAAGTATTTCATTGTTACAAATTATTTAGCAGATTTCCATTATTTGTTTATACACTGTCTAGCTCTATGAAATATATATTTCGAAGGCTATTTACTGTAATATATTTTATACAGTATGTTAATATAGTTAGCTGAATTTGTACAAATGTAGTTAAATATTGTGAAAATTGAGAAACACATGGCCAGACTTGAGAAACGTGTTTACACTTTAATACAATATTATTAAACTACATTTTACAGCAGTATTAACTTCAAATACTTTGTATTTACATTTACAGTAATGACCTGAAATTATTTAAATGAGCCATTACTGTAATAACAGAGTGGCCAGGTTGACAAAGCTAAAATCTGATGAACCTAACCTGCTAGGATATTTCAATAGTCAAACATCAGTTTCAGCACTCCAGCTGGTCAGGGATTTTTTAGGGAAAAGTTTTAGCACCCCATTGTAAAACCTGCCCCCGAATCTCAAAATTTCATTATTTTGTTCCCTTGCCCCTACAATCTATATTTATACCTTTTGTGTCCTTGAGATCTTTAAAAAAATTGCCTAACTCTGCAGTATGGCATGTAACCTTGTTGCCATATTTATTTTCTGACTTCAGGCTTCAATAAATTTCTACTCTAATGCCCTACAGAGATGGGGCCATATGTATGAACAATAAGAAATGATTTCTTCATCTATTATTGACCCCTTACCTTTCACCCAATTTTAAAATTAAATTTACTGAATGATTTTGAAGTTTTCTAGATTATTGAAAAGAACTTTATGGGTACAAGAAATGGGGCAAAAACAGTTGAATTAAGCAAGATGCAAGTAACAATGAACAAGACCAGGTCACTGGATGGTATTTCAGCACACTGGTGGACATGCAACCTAATACCTGCAACCTGTGTCACATTTATATATATAGTTTTACACTGTACTGGAAAAATAATGTCAAGGAATTTGTAGAGATTCAGAATGCACACTTCATGGTTTATTCAATCACCAGCATGCATGAATCATTTTATGTTATGAATATGTTTTAAAATTATTCTCACTTTATAGATAAAATTATATCAATTTTTAATATCATAAATTAATATATAGTAGCTTTTGATTAAACAACTTATAATAATATATCAGCAAATAATGAGTGGTCTCTCTGAAATCCATATAGAAAGGTTCAAATTTGACTTCCACTACCACTACTTGATCTGGCAGTTGCATCCGATTGTTTGATTGGATAAATGAAACTTATCTAGTTAATGGTAGCAATAGCAGCAGTGGAAGTCAAATCTGATCTCTCTATTATTTTTTGAAGGTTTGCTCTAGTCACATCAATTCAGGGTTGCCCATGCAACTTGGTTAGTACAGCTAGCTCTTCAAGTTGGAGGAGGTCCAATTCTTAGGATTCTGCAAATTAATTCTAGAAACCTGGCTTTGGTTTGGGCTAAACAAAAATCATCACACTGTTTATCATGCTGATTTGGTTGTTTAACAGTTAAAGTCCAGGCTGCATGTTTTTTTGTCCTGCATATGGCAGATGGGACAGTCTGGTTTCCAAGTGTTTATGTGGGGAATTAATATTAATCAGGACTGGCTTCTGAGTGAAGGTCTTGCCTGCTTCATGTGAGAGCAGGCTCTATGTGAGATTCCAATTGCTACACAGCATGATCTCAGTGCTCTTCCTCTGAAACAATGCTTGGTTGCAATATCATCCAGCAAGTGCAAAAATGTACTACCACGGTCAAGGATCATTTGGCATGTTCATCGACTATGTTAACCCATTGAGTGGCGCCATGCACCCTCCACCTGACGAGTAAAATTGTCTGGCGTTAGACAGAGTAAACTAACAAAGTAGGGTGCATCTGGGTGCATTGGGCCATTCCATTAATTAATGTATACACCCCCTATGGACGAGTTCAATAAAATTTGAACCCCTAAGAAAAAAAGATCAAAGTGCCGACACCAACACCCCCCCAGAAATTAAGAAATTTTTGCCTTATCCCTCAGAAAAAATGCAAAGATCAAAGGATGCCGATGCACACAACCCCTCAGAAACGGCTTTTTCAACCCCCTCAGAAATTCTAGTCCATAGATACCACAGCACAACACTTGTACATATACATATACAAGTAATACAACAGCAATCCTTTTATATATTTAATAGTCATATTTACATATTGGTGAAATATCAATGTCCATATATTAGGGATGTCCATTGTCCATGAACTTGTCCCTGTTTGAAGCTAATGTATTCATATCTTTTGTATAAGTTGTCCCTCTACAAACCAACTTTTAGTCATTATACAAGAGTTGAATTTGCATAAGTCGCAACAAAATGAACAAAGTACTATTCCATAAACCTGTGCAATGATCGAGCGTCTTGGCGACATATCCATGTCTTTTAAACGTCTCATACGAACAAATCTCACTGAGTTTTTTCTACAGAAAGTATTGATCCATTTGATCGATCGCCCTACTTTGAGAAAAGCTTGAAGTGCAAAATTCAGAAGGAAGATTGAAGAATTTCGGAGATAAAAACTGTTTGTCTTCGAGTTTCACCTATTCACCCCCCCAGTTGAGAAAAGTAACAATTACGTAATTTTGGAGTCACGTGACCAGTGTTTACCAGGGCTATGTCGCCCGCCTTCAATTCGCGACTAGTCCTGGGTACGAAGTTGCCACTGACTCGAAATAACTTTTAAGTATTTAAATTTCATTTGCAAGTTATTTTTAATCTGTTGGGAAAGACACCCCCTGGATTCTGAAAATTTAACTTGTTAATTTCACAATATAAGTACCTAAATCTGTATTAGTCAAATTTGAGCCACTTCATAAAGTTGAGAGTGATTTCAAATCTGTTCAGTTTTTTATATACGCTGTATAACAATTATTGGGATTAGGTTTTTCTATGAAGTTACAGCTCTCCTTTAATCATTCGCTGTCAACCATTATGTTTTGTTTAAGGTAGATAAATGCATTTTGCACATCTCTTGGATCAACATCTGCTGGTGTGGGAATGACTTGTTTACACGCTTGTCTGAACTGAGTTGTCAAAAATCGTCATTAACATCTAGTACTCCTGACTGAGTTGCAACTTCCTTTAATTGATCCTCTGAAACAACCCAACCTAAAAGGGCACTATAATCATACTTCAGTAACTTGTGGGTCCATACAATTATTCAAGTTGGAACATTAAGAAGCGTGCAATCTTGTACACTTAGTATAGCTGTGTGCCTTTGAAATTTTTCATTTTGGCACATATTCAAATATGATAACTTTATTTTAATCATAATAATATTGTACATTGGCAAAACATATGCCAATTTTGTAACAGAGTGTACAACCTGATACGGCTTATGTGAAACATTGTTAGCTCTGATAAGAAACAAAAATAGTAATTAATACCACATGCATACCACATTCATCCATATCATACTC